GGAAACGTAGCGCGGCACAATATGGCAATCGACTCGACCTTGTACTGAAACTACCGGCACACCGGCTAAACCCGAAATTGGGGCCGACCAATTTGACCAACGGAGCCGCTTCGCGCATGGCAGTGAAATCGCGTTTATTTGTGACGCCGAATCAATCAACGCGCGGGCCACTTGAAAACTTCCAGAACGATCGCGTATATGTACCAACCCGGTGCCAAGCACGACTGACGGAGGTCCAAGCCCGGATAATAGTGATGTGGGGACGGCAGATGATTCCACTTCCGATGACGGCATGACGTCGTTAGCCGTCGAATGTAACAAACGATGATGACGGCGTGAACAAACGGTACATTTGGCGGGTGCCTTACAACTAGGTGCCCAATGCCCAGGACTGAGACACGAAAAACAAATACGTTTAACACGCGCCACTTCATGCGTTCATCCACGGACAATGAACTAAATTTACGGCACACGTCGAGCGCATGTGAATTATTGCAGCATTGACATAACAATGTATGCGGCGACGACACCGGTGCTTGCACAGCTGAGACTAATGAGGTCAGCGATGGTCGATCAACCTTACGTGACCATTTAGACGGCGCAGGCGGTCGGTACTTAAGACGGGACGCGGGCACGGCCTGTTTACCGGCGACGCCCTGAACACGCTCGAGAATAGCAATACGGTTCTTAATAAATGTGAATAAGTCATCCACCGTGGGAAAATCACGTGTCGTTTCCGACTCAAACAACGTGCGACACGAAGACGAATGGCACCGTGACGCCAGTGAAAATAAAATAAAATCGCCTAAGTCTGGGACTTTTAATGCGGTGAGAACTGCAATACCTTCACCGAACACCGACATAAATTTATTCAAGTCCGACAAACTATCCACGGACGATATAGGTACTTGCAACAATTTGTCGACGAACAATCCCGCGACTAAGCGCGGCTTATCGTAACGCGATACTAACGCGGACCAGGCTACGGCGAATGTGGCCCCCGAAACCAGTATGCCACGAATAACGTCAGCAACGCTTCCGTAAACACAGCTGCGCAAATGATAAAACCGCTCGATATCGGGTATGTCAGGAAATTGAGATACGACCGCAAGAAACTGATCACGGAATGCAGGCCACTTATGAATATTTCTATTCTTAGATAAAATATACAATGAGGCAGATAGTTTTATATACATTTTCATTATTTTAATTTTGAGTAAAATGAAGAATGTACTGGTTTTGTGTTCACAATTTCAACCAAAAGAGGCTCCGATCATTACCGAATAAGGAGTTAAAAATAAGTATCTACCTTTACCTAGTAACTAATTGGTAATTTTAAATAGCTAATTTTTATAATTTTTCAGACAATTTTCAAATAATTGAAAAACAATACAGCAAAATTTACAACAACTAATTTTCAACAAAATCGACTTTACTTTATTTCATTAAACTCAAAAACTAAAAAACTGAAACTGAAAAATTTCCCTGTATGCTTATTAGACCATCGTTTGCTATAGGTATTTAATATAAAATAATTTTCTCGTTTTTAAGTAATTTATAGTTATTTAAAAATAACATGTTTATTTTAGCTGTTTTCATATAGTAGCAGTTATTTAATAATTTAGGCTTGATATAAAATTTAAAAATTTTAAAAATTAATTCATACATATATATAACTGATGTATATTATTTATAAAAACATAGTTAAAATTAAATTTAGTGTAATTTCAATAAAAAAATATTATGAACATTGGAGTGTTAAATTTTAATAAAACGACATTAATAACAAAAATCTACAATATTTTTATACTTTAGAAATCATATATCTTCTAATTTTAATATACTTAATACTTGGACATTTTATATAAACATTTAAAAAAAAAAAATTTTTATAACTATTATAAGATGCCAAAAAGTTTTAAGTGATAGAAGATAATTTTTTTTTGTTATTTCTGTATATGATTTCGACCAGAAGTTAAGATTTCTAAGTTCATCATAATCATGAAAGGCTTCTGATAGAAAATATTATCTAGTTGATACTTTAGGGGTGTAATATTTTACATATGGATATCTCATTGGACGAGCCAATCATAATAAGATTAATTTTATATTGCTTAATCCCTTACACAAATTATTTTACTTATTTTTTTTTTACTTTCTTTTTCATTATTATTATTTTCTGCCATCCAAGTATATAAATATTTTTAAACGCTAAATTTAGGACAAAATTTATATTATTTAAATTAAATTCCAAACAAAATATATTTTTATCTACTTCGAATGCGATGAAGAAATAATGAAAATATATATACACAAATTAATAGAATTTTCTTTAAATTCGAAATAATGGTATAGTTGTCATAAACTTTTTTTTAGAATTTTCTTCTTTATCTTATCAGATTTTAAATATTGTAAAAAAAAATCGAAGTTTAAATTGATTTACATAAATAATGTACATTATTGAATTATTGAGTGTCTCGAAAGATTTCTATAGTTACAATTATAATAACTGTGACCACTGCTGCAATAATTTAGTTCCTATAATTAATTTTAAACAAAAAAGTTTTTATGGTGTCAAAGAAAGTTTTAATTATTATTGTTTGTGTATTTTTTTTTCTAGTCTTTATTTCCTTTTTTTTTTATTTAATCAAAAGAACCAATTTTACATAGTCCGATTTTCTAAAGAAGAAATACCTTTCAATGTTTACGCAATAACATTCGATATGCGTGCACTGTAGAGCATAACGGTATATTTTTGAAAGTTTATTATGTAAGAAGAATACAATATCAACTTCACTCTTTTTCGAGAAATATTGTAAATGTACAATTAAGTTGCATTTGTTATTTTATTAAATTTAATTGCTTACTGTTATTTTACACAGAACTTGCAGCATCTTATATTGTAAATTTTAATATTAAATAGTATACTGAATATAGGTATACACTTGGTTATAATCATTTTTTTCCAATTACTCTGTTGTGAACTTCCGTGACTTTCCGTCTATTAGACAGCTAGAAAAAGGTAAACTACCAATGATTTAAAATTATAAAATATTATAACACGTTAAGTTAACCCAATAAGCGTACTAATAATACACCTTATAACTCCGAACATTATTACACTGAAATATTTAAAAAAGGATTTTATGTTGATCATAATTGATAGTATGTAAATTCCATACCTGAATACGGACATAAAATTCTACTTGAATTATTGAGTACGATTAGCATAAAACGTGTTTTTTAACTCGTCTCATAAAAAATAACATACTTAAATTATTAAAGTTATTTAAATGCATATTTTCTAATTATTATTCTTCATCAAAATATTAGTGAAAGAGAACGATTTTGTACAATGTACATAAACGAAAGACAATAAACGACTAAATTAATTTTTTTAATGTGGCAGATAGGGTTTTTGGAATGGACATGATTAACTCTGATCACCCATCTCGTGATTTGCGATTGAATTTATTGATCGTGTTTATCTACTACACTTTAAAAATCATCTAAGGTTCGTAATTGCAAATATTTACGGTTTATACTGTAACAACTGTATACGCTAATCTATATCGTAAATATTTTTATTTTTTGCTACTTTTCCAATTGTTCTCATCAACATAAACCATATTGTTCTATACCCAGAGGATTGACAACCAAATTTTTGAGAGAATTACACAAGTTAAAATCCTATTTATCGGTACTATTATTGATTTTTAATATTGTCGCCTGGATCATATATTACCTTGTCAGACATTTTGTAACTCAAATATTGTACAAAAATAGTTTTCTCTCACATTCAAGTCAACTTTAAGTTTTACGCGTTTCGATTTATCTAAAAATGGATTTGCTATCATTGATCGATATATAGTTACACTCGCAAGTCATTGGTTATTTGTTTTTGACGAGTAAAAATATGTTGAGGTTTTGATGTTATTTTAATACTAATCCATAAAATTTTAATTTTGTCTCTGTTGCCTTTGCAGATACAGACATCACTACTAGATTTAGTTGACTCGATATCTAATAATATTGACCAAAAACTAAAAATTTTCAGTGACTAAAAATAAAAAATGTCTGGTAAATTCGATAAATATTTTGATATTAAAAGGTATATCAAAGTTGTTTTGTATCTACAGCTGCATTTAGATTCGATTCAAACACGAGCGAACGAGAGCGTATACTACCGAATGAACCAGTGTATTTGGTAAACTGATTACAATAAATGGAATTTTGGCAAAGTTCTCTTCTAGAGCAGTACTATCAGTGAAAACCATACTTAGTAATACTTAGAAGCGAACATGAACGAATAATATACACGGTGCAGCCGAATGTGTAGTAAATCTACGGACAAATTCGTTCGGTAGCAGTAATTTTTGTTTCGACCATAGTCTAAACGTATCATACGTAATAACTTGTTGTTTGTTACCAATGGATCAAACAAATTATCTCCTATCATATCAACCTAATTTCTATAATTACCAATCATAACATTTTATTAATGTGAGGCCATAAAGCCATGCTTAGTGATCATTTTACCTAACTTTGTACAATGACTTGGGAATAATTTTAATTAGTTGTACAACATTTTATATTTCCACTTAAAGGTAAGTAATTTGTGAAAGGTATGTTTTGAAAATATTTCCAATACACCTGACTTAGAAGAAATTCGCTATTGCAAACCGGTTTAGATTTCCCCTTAAAAAGTAAACCGGTGTAGTTTTTAGAAATTTGCTGTACTAAACCGATTTAAAAATGAGGCACACCGGTTTATTTTTTTTCGACCATGCTAACGAGGTGGTTGATAAATACCGATCATGATTCGTCCCCACCACAAACTTCATATTTCCCCTTATTTAATTTATTATCACATCAATCACTATCAATTTTTATCACTAAACCAAATTAATTTTATTTGCAATCGTATTATTTTGTAGAGTAAAATATTTATTAAAATATTTATTTTTAAAATATAATACTTGTAAAATAAGTAACGAATATTATAATATGCACTCAGAAAACATGGACACAGAAAACGAAATAATTATTGTGGGGCATGATTCTGATTATGAAGGTAAATGTAATTTATAGTTTTTTGCATATTTTTTTAAGTACTTCCGTCACATTTTACCTTTATGTAGATGAATTCCAAGGTATGATTACGGAAGAACTGAATGGTGAAGAGAATGATAATGAAGCATACAATTCGAGTGTGTATTTCATTGATCTGAGAATTGAAGTTGACGATATGAAATTTTTGTTTTATTTTTTTATAGACCAATGGCCAGTGGCAGCTACAAAATTACTTATTTCATTTAGAGGGGCAATGAGTACTGACTTTGAAAAAATTAAAAAGAAGGGTCAAAAAGCTGTACTTTGGCAAACAATTGCCAACAAAATAAATAAAAAAAATTATAATCTTACTGCGAAGCATTGTGATGAAAAGTGGAGACGGTTGCTTACACGTTTCCGACAGGTAAACGATGCTAGTAAACGTAGCAGAAATGGAGGCGTCAGATGGCAATACTATGATCTAATGCAAGAATCAATGTCATCAGTATCAAAACAGACCATTTCACCTCCAAAAAGTAAGATATCTTAGTTTTTTAAAAAGTTTACACAATTACCATTGGCGTGTGCATGGTATATAGTAAAATGTTCTTGGTATACATTTTATTATAATGGAAACCTTTTGTATAATATTGTATATTTGTATAACAATTACTTATCAATCATATTTATAACACTTGTAATAGTTAATCAAGTATTTACTAAAATTTAAATAAAATTAGTTATAGTATATTTTTCTATATTACAGATTTGTTACATGAGTCTTCTAAGTCTGAATCGACTCCATCAGTATCAAAATCTCATAATTTGAGTACTCCAGAATTGTCATCACCAGCATCAAGTTCTAGCCCATCACCAACACATCGTCCATCATTACTAAAAATAAACAACAGTGACAAAATGCCTGTTTGGTTTGAGAAATTTAAAATATTAAAAGAACAACAAATAGAAGCGAATAATGACAACACAGCACAACTCCGTGAACGGTTAGTAGGACTTAAAGTGTATACAAAATATATTTTATAATGTCTGATATCTGAAATTTGTTTTTTTAAATAAACCCTATAATATAAATAATTACATAACATATCATTATTATTATTATTTATTTTTTATATATATATAGATTAGACAAACTGGAGAAAAGAGAAGAGAATATGTTAGAAATACAAAAGCAGCTTGTGAGTAAGTTAGATACAGCAAATAAAATTGAGCTACAGAAGTTGGAAATGTTCAAGAAAATGTTTAACAACTCCTAGTTCTGAAAATGTTTTTCATTGCATTTATTAATACTTTTACCTAATTGTTATTTATTACCATAAGTAATTAAAAGAAACTGTTTTTTTTTTTAATTATATCCTTTATAGACTAAACATAATCAAAGGAACTGATTAGTTTAACATTTTTATTTTATTTTTGTTAAAGTTTAATTATTATTATGTTTTTCATTGAATTTATTAATACTATTACCTAATTGTTTTTTATTACCATAAGGACACAATAAATAAACTATTTTTTTTTCTGACTTTCTTATGATTTTATTTATAAATATTCATTTATATGCAATGAATTACAAAGAAAATCTCTTTTAGTCATGCCACCTATGATTTCCTCTTCATTTTCCTCGATAGTTGCTTCTGATGGTATTGGATCATAATTAATAAAATCGTCATTCATTGACATACATATATTATGTAAGCAGCATACAGCTGTAATTATTTTTCCACAAAAATCTTTTTTATATATATCCATATGCCTGAAATATAAAATTAAATCTATTACTTACTTATTAGATATTTATTTATTATATCCATACACATTATACATGAAGTTTCATTATAACATACTTTAATTTCCTAAACCTGCAAATTAATTTTCCAAATGCCTGTTCAATTAGAATTCGAGTACTACTCAATGCTCTATTAAAATTATTTTCTTTTCTAGTTAAATGCCCATTATCTTTATAAGGTACCATGAGACCTTCAGTCAATGGGTATGCACCATCTCCAAGAATATGGCAAGATGGTGGTAAAATGGACCAAGGATCATTAATGATCACCTGACCAATACTGCTACAACGATAAACCCGTGCATCATGTGTACGCCCAGGCCAACCAGCAAAAACATCTATGAACTTATGATTTGCATCAACAATTCCCTAAATAGATATAAAATTACTAATTAATATTAATATTCAGGTATTTATAGTACACATATCACTACAAATCTTGAACAATATTACCACAGACTATGTAGTCTGTGATATTACTAACTATAATGATTTAGCTATGTACTAAGATGGCCAGGCATAAATACATACCTGTAATACTATGGTAGATACTTGTTTCCTGTTACAAAACATATTTCTATCCAGTTTTGGCATTTTCTTTCTCTTTTCCCATGGAAATAATGTATTTATGTGGCATCCATCAATACAACCAAAAACATTTGGAAATGAATTATCTCCACGGAGTAAATTAAATTTATTTAAATTATCTATAGCAGCTTGGCCCGATGGCCAAACAATAATTTTAGCAGCTACACTATTCAAAGCTACTAAACAGTTATTCACTATTTTGTGGCTTGTACTCTCTGCTACATTGAATCTATTTGCAATTTGTCTAAAAATGATAAACCCAATACTGAACTATATACTATATATATATATATATATATATATATATATATATATATATATATACTATATATACTATATACTATTATTTATTGTAAATAATTTTAGATATTTTAATTAAAATTATTTTTTCACCTGTATGTTTCACAATTTGCCATATACCAAATAAAAATTAATATTTGTTTTTCTATATTAATTTTTATAGACTCCAAAGCAAGAATCGGGCCGATATATGAGATTAATACCTAAGAAAAATAAATAAATTTTCTGTAGTAATTTAGAAAAATATTTGAATAACATAAAGTATACATATAATTTTCATTAAATAGGTACTTTTAAACACGGTAGCTTAGAGATAAATAACGATAAATAACATGCATACAAACCTCAACACTCCCTCGATTTAAACGAAAGTGAGATTTAAATTCCTTCTCTGTAAATTTTGGTACCATCAATTCAGCAAACATTTTTATTTTTGTTTTCGATTCCTTTGGTTTAATAGTTTGACTAAAAATAATAAATTCATCTTCATCTTGATCATCATCACCGGAACCAAAATACAGTGGATCAACGTCTAATTGAAAAATGTCTTAGGAGTTAATTTCAGTATATAATTTATATATAATTTAAGTATTGTGATGGCTAAAACATTTAAATTTACTAAAATATATTCTTACTTTTTCGATTGGACATCGATTGTACTGTATGATTGAATATATTAGTGACAACACGGTTTTTACTGAGTATAAAATCTTTGAAAATCGCCATTTTAATATTATTATTATCCATTTTTTATTTTTATATAAAAAATTTTAAAAACAGAAAATTCAAAATTGTTAAATCAACAACATGATAGCAGAATCAATATTGTGTGATAACCACGGTTAAAGATATACAGGTTAGCTGTCGCTGACGCGCCACTCGGTCAGATTGTGTTACCATTCAGTAGTTCATATTTTCATCACATGCGTAGGGCGCTAGTAGTAAGTAGGGTCATATTTTATTATTAAAACATCGTATAATCGGTAAATTCCTAGTTGCTACATAATAGAATATTAAAATTTATATGATCATAAATTTAATATAACTTATAAGTAAAAAATATATTTATTCTAATATTAATATGTCAATTAATTATATTAATATTACATTATTAGTTATTTATTATTATAAGCTATAATAAAATGTATTATACAAAATAAATAGGCCACAACGTATTTACTGTTTTGTGCATCCATTTTATCTGAAACAAAAATGATTCAAATTAATATTTATCAGGTTGTTAGTTTCAAATTTTTATTTTTAACCATCACTACAACAGCCGTCAACCGCCAATCAAGAAACTACAAAAGCATATAAAATTAAAATGCAAACTGGTGATAAATTTTATTAAATAATGCAATAAATAATAAAAGAAAAATAATAATTATAAGCATACCCATGCAGTTTTATAAATAATAACAATAAATGAACAAGAATATTCCAAAATATTTAATAATTATATATAGATAGTTAATAATAATATATAAGCAGTTATAAAACAATTTTAAGTAGAGACCAATTTAGCAATTTTCTTCTTCTCTCTGCTATTTTTTTTTTCTTTTCGATTGTCTTGTACAGCAAAGTGTCGCATTCGCATGATTAAATAATTAGTTAAAATAGATGAAACGACTTGGCTTTTGTGTTCATTACAAGGGAATGAAATAGGAAAATTTAGAACATCATCTACAGTGAGATCAAATACATTTTTATGTTGGCAATGTGTAGCAAAACTTTCTTCAACTTTAGTTAAAAAATGAAATAAATGTATGTTGGGATGAGTTAGGCCTCCTTTTGATTTTAAGTTAACCAATTCTGCTTCAGGAATATCTATATACTTCTGGTTATTTTTTAATGCGTTCAAGCAAAGAATGCAAGATATATTTTTAATAATTTTTTTTGTCACATACCCGGTAGCATAGTAAATAATACAATTTAATGCAGAAGCTTCATTGTAATTATGGTCTTCAAATATTTCATCGGCTTCCCAAAAACCTTCATCAATAAGTAAATCTACTTTAAGTTTCAAATTAGAAAGCTTTTGTTGTCTTATAGACGATTCAGAATGAAATATTTCTTTTAATTCGGACAGTGCTATTTTCGGAGCCTTGCTATCAAGAATAGTGCAATTGCCTGACTTGGGTGGGCGTAGCACAGAATATATAGATAAGATTCGATAAATGTGTAAAAAAATAGGGCCTGTTGGATGATCATTAGGTCCTGCTGCTTGTCTGATCATACCAAAAAATTTCTAAAATTCAAACAGAAAAAAAATTATAATAAATGACACAAAATCATAGTTTGAGACAAATATAGGTACTTCTAATGGATCTTGGTTCATTTTGCCTGTTAATACGTAATTGAATCCACAGTCATATAATAAATATCTGCAAAGTTCTATCGATGATCGTAGTGTAACACGAAGTCCTTCCGCTGTAGAGCAAGTGAGAAATTCATTTGGACTTATTTTTAAATCATGTACCAATTGTTCCCAGTTATTAAGCCAAACTTCTGCATCTTCCAAAATCTGTCAATTAAAAATATAACACATAATAAGTATTTTATTTCAATAATTATATTGGTAAACAATAAATAAAGTAATACATATAAGGAATTAGAATGAATAGTAATAATAAAAAAAACCAATATATTAATGAAAATAATAGTTAATAATTGTTATTCAATACCTTAAAGTCATTACTGGATTTGGTAATACCTTCAGAGGTATAACGGCGATTTAAGGTGTCAAACAAATTGTTTAGAAATAATGTAAAGACTTGGGTTTCTTCACTACCTCCTAAACCAACAATTTTCTTCCGTCTATAAAACTCTATACCGCAAGCCATTGATCGACTGAACACCTTAATAATAATTGGATACATTAATACGTAAATGTTAATAAATGGTACCTAATAGTTATTACTTCCTAATGTACAAACATTAGATCATAAGTGAGTTTTCTATAAATCAATATTAACATTTACTACAAAACTAAAAGTATATTCAATAAATATTTTCAAATTTATTTAAGTTGTATTGAATTTTTTTTATAACAATTCTTTTTTATTATTATTAAATATTTTAAAATATTTTACTTGTGTCATTAAACGAACTCGCATTTTCATTAAATTGGACAAAAATAGATGTTCTTTAGTAACCTTTGGAATGGCACGTGCATTACCAGGATGAATTACATCAGCATTATAGGCTTCAATATAATGAAACCAACTGACACATTTTCGATCAGGATTCACCTTAAATTAATATATTTAAACATTACAACATTATTCATACTAAATAATAACAAAAATATTACTTTAAGATATTTATTGTCATGTAAGCGGTTTCTTATATTTTTGAAAAGGTGTGGAACATCTGATAACACAAATACTTTTCTGTGTTCCTGAGTAGGATGTATAAAATAGTTTTGGACCGCTCCTAATTTACCACTAATCCCAAATTGGGTCCACATTTTTCGGTTTGTAGCAGCACCATCACAAATTATACCATCAATAAAGCAACCAGAAGATTCTAACATCATTATAGCTTTTAATACAAGCTGGGCCAATACAGTTCCTGTAATAT